AACCCGTCCAGCTATGCCCCTCCTGAATTTCTGCCTTATTCCATTTTGGCTGCCCTGACAAAAGTACTGGGGCTTAAAAACAGCAGAGATTTGTTTCTCACAGTTCTAGAGGCTGGGAAGTCCAAGATCAAGATGCCAGCAGGTTCGGTGTCCGGCGAGGGCCTTCTTCCTGGTTCATAGACAGCTATCTTTTTGCTGTGTTCTCACATAGCAGAAGGGGCAAGGGATCACCCTGGGGCCTCTTTGATAAGGGCACGAATCCCAAATATTAGCACTCCACCCTCATGACCTAATCAACCCCAAAGGCCCCACCTCCTGATACCATCACATGGGCATTGGGATTTCAATGTAGGAATTTGGTGGGACACTGACATTTCAATCATAGCAAGTCCTAATCCTCAGAAACAGAGTGAGATCCTAATTTGATTGTTGATGCTTTGCTTAAGGCTGGGGGTAATCTGTTACGCAGCGATGGACAACTAACACAGAAAATGAGCAAGAAGAGGTGAGGGAATGTAAATTCGGCAAATAGCTGTGCCTGCCACAAAGAGGGAATAGATAACTTTTGGGGCACATGTAGATCTTTGCAGAAGAAATCTCCATCCACCATACGGTCATTGCTTCTGACTCTCCTTCATAATGTGCCATGAGGTAGTCATTAAAGATGATCATGTTATCTCATTCTACCCTCATAATGGCTCACTGAGTAAGACGTATTCGGCACTTGGTTTTGCCACATACATTACAGGTATATTATTTTAATTCAGAAGAAACTGAGGATCTAACACATGCCCTGGTTACTGGGTATTTAAAGATGAATAAGCAAGATCTCAGCCCTTGAGGAATCTAGTATTGAGTAAGGAAGAAAGACCTTAGACAAATGCTTATCATGCCAGATGATAAGCCCTACCCTTCAAACCCCCGGCCCTGAAGAGCACAGAGAGGGAGATATTTCAGTCTATTTCGGAGAGTCAGTAAGGAGGATGGGATGGCCCCCAAGTTATAAGAAGGGCAGCCTTGAGTTAGGTTTTGAAGGATGAATAGAAGCCCACCAGAGAGAAAGGCATGTGAGCCAAGGGAGTTAGCATGAGCAATGCCCAGGAGCAGGATACACAAGCTGTTTGAGGAATTGAAAGGATTTGGTGCTGCCAAAGGCCAGGGTACACAGGCAGGGAGTGGCAAGAGAGGAGGCTGGCAAGATAGGCTGAGGCCTTGATGCCTCCCCAGAGGGGGAGGTTAGGGCTTCGTTTTGAAAACAGTGAGGAGCACCTAGGACATTCGCAGGCATCGCATTCGATTCTTAGGCTTTTGGAAGAGGCACCTACCATGGGCTCCTCTTTGCGACCCCAAGTCTTGTCTTAAGATACTAAGGGCACTCACAGGGCAGGCTCACCCAGGGAATGCAGACTCTCCAATCTGTCACTTCTGTGAGCCCCCCGGAGTCACCAATGAGACACATTGTGAGTAAATTACATGATCAAGAGACACTTAATCTGGGCCAGATCCATTTGCACATGAGGGTGATTTATTAAGAAAGCAAGCCCTGTGCCAAGATAAGGGAGGAGAAATCTCCCTGGCTTGATTTACGCTTGCAGGCAGAACATTAGCGTCATGCGTTTCCTGACCGCTGTCTTGCTTTCCCTCCATCGCACAGGGCTGCTTGGAAGAGGACCCTCGCCTTTCAGACCACGGCGCCACGAGAATAGCACCCACCAAGCAGAAAGGCTTAGGCGCCCGCAGAAGTTGTCGCGATGTGACCTGCAGCCCCTGTAGTGGCCTCATCCAGGGGCCAACCGGGGTGCTCCATGAAGACACTGGGCGCCACTGGGACTGAAGAGACTATTAATCACCTGCAGCTTCCCGGATTGCAGGGGGAGGGAGGCCTAGACAACTACGAGCCTCCCATGGTTCGAGGAACACGCTGCCCAAATATTATTCTGCACCGGGCATTTACTGTCCCCAGCAGCCGTCTGGATTCCGGCTCTGGGCCGGCACCGTGCCCTGTGGGAGGAAGCCCTGCCATCCCCGCCGTCCCACCCAGTCCTCTCAGGTGACATGGGACCCAGCCAAGGAGCATACCAATCTAACTGGCAATGGACCGCCTCGCTGCCTGCGAGACACATAAGTATCTTGGGGCCGGGACCTCGTGTTGTTTTGTAACATAAGCACTTTCCACCCAGGGCACAGAAGTCAAGGAGGGTTTGATTGTGGAGTCCAAACAGTCGCTATCACAGTGTTATTGTAGCCTCCCGTTCTTCCTCCCGATTACTCCTCTGACATGATCTACGGCGGCCAGTGATAAACCTGCTGGCACTCAGTTTCTAGCCAAACAATTCCCGTCTCTCGTCGGGCACTTATCTTTTCCAGCAGTCAAAGAAAAACTATATATAGTGTCTCGCTGGCGTCTAATCCTCTTTTATTTATTTATTTTTTTTTTTTTTATTTTTTGACACAAGGGAGCTCCTCCCGGGAACATGGCAAATGGCTGTGCACCAGGGTGGAGCGGGCCGGCAGGGCACCAGCGGTTGGCGAAAGAAAAGGCAGGAGAGGGGGAGGATCAAGGCTGGAGATCGGGCCCTGACCTGGCCTGTGCACAGTGAGCCCAGGTGTGACAAAAGCAGAATCAGGGAGGTACGTAAAATGTCAGCAAGACTCACAACCATGAGTAATGCTTTATAAAAGCCCTGGCCACTTCTTCCCAGAACTGGGTGTCGTAGTGATGCCATAGGAAGTCTGTGCAGTGTTTTATTCATGAAGCATTTTCAAAACATTTGATTGCATTCCCATAACAAGCCCATAAGTCAAGATAACAGCTACTCCCGTTTTAGATGAGAAAACAGGCAAACTGTAGGAAGAAACAGAAAAGCGGTCAAAACTTTTTTCTGTGACAATATTTATAATAGTCTCTACCCGCTACAGAGATGCAATCAATTACTGCTTAGAAAATGTCCTTAGCACGTCAGAAGGAGAGCCAAATTAATCAGAGGTCGGCAAAAGAAACTTTCACTCCTAACTATGTTCTGCTCTCCACTTTTTGGAGAAAAGAAGAAAATCTAAAAAAAAAAGAAATAAAGAAAGAAAGAAAGAAAAAGCAAGTTGATAAAAGGGACTTGTTAAGGTTGTAACTCAACATTACAAACCTATGTCTCCAGTCCTCTAAGACATGAGCCGAAACCGTGCACCCATTTGCTGCCCTTCGCCTTCTAACATAGGGAAGATATTGTGTAGTGAGGTGAAATTGCACCAAGAATTAAAAAAACAAAAGGAGTTTGGGGTCCTGCAAAATTAAAAGACCAGAGCTCCCCATTCTTCAAGTCTTCCAGGTAACCAGGGTTTTTCCTCTATAGGACTTTAGGAGGCTTTTAAAAATACTTCTTAAACTAAAATAATCACTCACTATAGAAAAGCACCTCCCTATCAGCTTTAAATGATTCATCCCTTATCCCCAAATCCAGATTAAATTCCTCTTCCAGAAATGCTGCGACAGCCAAATGGTTCTTTTCTCCACTTTAGGTCCCGGCTGCGTCTGTTTGTGACAACACTCCTTTGACGGCAGCGTCTCTCACACGAGGGCTGTCCTGGGAAGCCGTGTGTGACTCGGGTCCAGGCAGGAGGGGTTCAGGCAAATGGCAGGCACATTCCAGACTTCTGGGGTGCTTGGCGAGTGTCTGTCAGGTGCGGGGCAGAACCACATGACGCTCAGGAGGGTGTAAGGAAGCTCTTTCGACCCAAAACAGGAGGAGAGGACAGGAACCCAGACTGAACAGCCTTGGTCCTGATGAAGAGAGGGGCTAGAGGTGACGCTGGCCCTCGGAGCAGAGGACACAGGCCCTGCTCTGCCCTTGAGGAGCTCCTGGTCCAACGGGAACAGACTATCAGGAAGATAAGTCCCCTTTGTGTGAACAAGGACCTATGTGGCCCAGGAGGGGTTGTAAGCCCATCTGACAGCATCGTTCAGGCAGGGTTTCACACTGAAGGTGACACCTGAGAGGGGACTCGAAGGACTTTTCTAGATAGAGAAGAGTTGGGGGCACTCCAGGTGAAAGAATAGCTTGAGCAAAATGAAGGAGACTGTCATGGGTGAAATGGTGGCCAGAAAGATATACCCACCTCCTAACCCCCGGAATCTGTGACCGTGGCCTTACTTGAAAAAAGGGTCTTCGCAGATGTCTTTGAGTTAAGGATCTCAAGACGAGATCAACTTGGACAATCCAGGTGGACCCTGAATCCAATGGCACACAGAGAAGAGACACGTGTCACACACAGGAGAGACCCACAGGAAGAGGAGAGGCTACATGAAGAAGGAGGCTGAGGTCAGAGGGATGTGGCCACAAGCCAAGGAACGCCTGGAGCGCCCAGAACCTGAAAGAGGCACAGGAGCACTCTCCCCAGAGCCTGGAAAGGGAGTGTGGCCCTGCCAACACCTTGATTTTGAACTTCTGGCTGTGAGAGAATCAATTTTTATTGTTTTAGGCCACCAAGTTTGTCGTAATTTGCTGTGGCAGCCACAGGAAACTAATGTAGAGCCATGAAAGGAACGCGAGTCCTGGGCTGTTTGTGTCAGCTCAGTTCCTCAGCCTTCTCCTACTCTGTTCCCTGTGGCAGGGGCTGAGCCCTGCAGGCTGTGCTTCCTGCCTTGGGGTTTCCAGCTGGGCTCGGCCAATGGGAGCACCGCCAGGAGACTGAGGCGGCAGGAAGGGAGAAGCCAGGGTGTTTCCGTCTCCCCCCTGGCTCTGGCTCCCCTCAAATAGGATCACAGTGATTCCAGGGTCCCCTGGGTGATCCCAGCCCCCTGCTGCAACTAGAAGTCATGAGAGCTTCTGGGAATAATGGCTCCAGTGTGACCAGAGCACAGGGCATATGGGAGGGAGGGGGGGTGCAAGCCTGACACCAGACAGAGATGGGCTGTTCCACAAACACTGCCAACACCACGCACAAGCAGTGGGTCTCGGGGTTCCTCTAACTGCACAACATTTACGGAAGCCACAAGCTGTCACCCTTTACTTGACGTTCACTGGTACTTCGCTGGTCACCACGAAGGCTCCAGACATTTCTTGGTAGGAGATTGCATTAGCGTTCTGGGGCTGCCGTAACAAAGTACGAGACTGCGTAACTTAAACAACAGAAACTTGTGTTCTCACGGTTCGGGGGACTAGATGTCTGCCATCAGCGTGCTGGTTTCTTTCGAGGCCTCTCTCCTCGGTTTGCAGATGAGCATCTTCTCCCTGCGTCTCCCCACGCTCTTTCCCTCGGTGTCCCAATCTCCTCTCCTTATAGGGACACCTGTCATGTCGGATTAGGGCCCACACTAACAACCTCCTTCTATCTTAATTATACCACTTTAAAGACCCTCACTCCAAATACAGTCACATTCTGAGGTACTGGAGGTTAGGGCTTCGTGCATGAATTTGGGGGGGCAGGACACAATTTGGCCCATAATGGAGACTTGGGGTGTCAGGGGCAGACTGAGAGATAGTGGAAGTCCCAGCATGCCCAGTGGGAATCAGACATGACCAGCAGGTGTTCAGTAAGAAACAAAGGTGCCCAGTGAACTCACGGGTACCAGGGAGAGGTGGCACAGGCTGGCCAAGAGCCAGCAGCCACGACCAGAAGACACCAGAGCAGGATGAAAGGCTGCAAGTAGAAGATGCCTGGTGAGAGCCGACCTGAGCAAATGGGCAACTGGACGAGCTTCTGGGAGCACGTGCAAAACCCCAAGGACTTCCAGAAACCTTGAGCTGAGGTGCTAAGTAGCTAGGAAGGAGAAGAGTCGGCAAAGAAAGGTTTGCATTATTAGTGCAACTCTCTTCGAACCCACGGGACGATTAAATCTATAAGGGAAAAGTCTGTGCATTTTGGAAGGAATTAAGTTCTTCCTCGAGCCCAGTCCTTCCCACCACAACACAAACACACACAGATGGCGTCTGGTCTCCTTTTACATGGCATCCTTATAGAGGTAAAACCAAGAAATCAAGGAAAGCAAACAGTCTTCGCGAGTAAAGGGAGAATGAGACAGAGGCAGCAGAAACCGGAAGAGCTACATTTGTGTGCCGGCCACATGCAGCCCGTGCAGCAGCTCCAGGACCGTAAGCTTATGTCCAAGGGAGCGATATACACGTGCATTTGCAGATGAGCCACAATTTATTAATATGAGACTCTGTGGGGTGCACCGCAATAAATTGCAATTCGTGAAATTTATAAACTGAGATAGCACTAGTGAGAGGTCCTGTGAATTGTAATTCTCTCGGCCTGACAAATGAACTGCTTTGAGCAGCGACAGCTTCAGCAGAGTGAGAGAAATAAATCAGCCGGAGGAACTGTGGTAAGAAAGCAAACAGTTTTATTGGCCTATGGGTCTTGAGACACGTTGATTAAGTCCGATTTGGAATCCCCCCACGGTTGTTTTACAAGCTGCTTTATCCAGGAGACCCCCCAGGCTTCTACATAGCACCACAGTCTCCTAGGAAAGATGGGAAGTGAGTTACACTGTGTTTGGGGTAGGAAACAAAAATATATATTTTCTTACGGTCCTGGGAAAAGGTAAGTCTGACCATTGAAGGAGGCTTCTGTGGTCCTGACGTCTGTCTTAGAGCAAAACTTTATGGAGGCTCTCCACAGCACTGATGACGTCTCAGTCTCCAGGGAGCAAATAGAAAACACCTTGAGTTACGGAACCCACTTTGTGAGAATATATTTAGAATAAATGGGACTGATCAGAGGTTAGTGTTTGGACTAACAAAGTACAGGTTTACTTGGCAAACTAAGAGTAGAAACAAGAATGTAGCGGGCAACATGTAAACTGTAGACACTAGAACAAACTGCTTTTAATTATATTTATGTCGTAAGAGAACCCATTTGCTATCAAATAACTCACGTGCTAATTACACTCTGCTCTGTTCATTGAAGCAGGGCCCACAAAAGACTCCATTCTAGGAAGTGGTTTGGTTTTGGCAAATGGTTACATTTATTTTTAAATGTAGCCTTCAAATACAAAATGTCATATTCAGGACTTGTCTTCCCTCTGGTTGATCTGAATTACCGGACAGGAACTATTTAATTTGGAGGTTTATTTGCAACACCCCAGCGGGAAAGAAGTAGCAACTCCGGAGAAGGGAAGGGTAGGGGAACTATTAATATTGCTAAACCATCTGTGTCCAGGTCTTTATGTTCAGGGTCTCACAACCTTCAAGAAGCAATTATCATCTCATGAGAGAGAGAGAGAGAGAGAGAGAGAGAGAGAGAGAGAGAGAGAGAGACTGAGCATTAACTTACCAGGGTCACACAGCACTGATCGGAAAAGGCAGGAATTCATTGTCAACTAACTCCATGCCCTTTCTAGTATATCATGTAACATTTCAAAATTGAGGACCCTAGAATCTTCAGGTGAGAGTTCCCTCCATGTCCCCAGCCTTTCTTCCTGACTGCTGATGCAGATCTCCCCAGACCCCAGAGCAGATCACTGCCTCCCACGTTCTCGCCACCACCGGGGAAGGAAGCTCCACCTCCGGCCTGGGGCAGGACAGCCCAGCAGCTCAGTCTGCCCCAGCCCCAGCCGCTCTGCTGGGCTGCCGGTGGGGACAGAGGCCGGGCATCTGGGCACCCCGGGAAGCAAAGCCTGCGGGGGGCCAGGGAGAGGGCAGTGCTGGGCAGCTTCCAGTTTGGGGAGCGGGCTGCCCTGAGATGGAGCGAGGCGGGTCACAGAAGTGCTGCGGTGCAGACCCAAACAGTTTGTTGCAGCCCCAGGAAACTTCCGAAATGTCTTTCCCAGAAGCTCGGGCTCCGCCAGGAGCAGGCGCGTTTGCGTGGCTGCAGGGCACCGGCAGCGGCACGCCTCGCTCCCCCAGCTCCCTGTGGCAGCGGGAGCAAGAACTTTGGGGGGGTCGGGTGCATAAACCACAGCAGGGAAATCTGACTTCCAAAACACAGAGCGAGCGGGGGATGTCCACCTCCCCAGCACGCAGCGTCTGGGCTGATCACCAGCAAGGTTCCTGCCACCTGAGGTGCAGGTGGGGTAGGGGCGTGTCTCAGGCGTCCTGGCTTGGGGGCAAAGACCTGTTTTACCTGGCCCTCCCTCCTGCCATTGCTCACACCTGGACTGTAGCCAGGAATGGGGGAGGGGGTGCTAAATGCGCGTTTTCCAGCCCTTTCAGCGAGCTCAATCCCAAACACTTTTTCCATCACCTGACCACCCCTCTCATCCCCAGCTCCTAAATCATTCTTGCTTCCTCTTAGCCTAGTAAATCTCCTGGGCGTCCTGTTCAGATGCACATTGTGATTCCATTCAACAGGCCTAGGTGGGGGCCTGGGCTTCTGCATTTCCAACAAGCTCTCAGTACACGGATGCCTTGGTCCTTGCACCACACTTTGAGTGGCAGAGGCCAATAGATCGGTCCCAGATTCCCAAAGCTGGTGTTGAAAACTCTGGGCTGCCTTTGCATTGGCTACCTCTCTTCCCTCCTGTATCTCCTCCCCACCTGTGCTGTGCTCCAGGCAAAATTAGTGACCAGCCTGCCGCAGGCAGCCTGTGCTGCCGGGCACCCACCCCCACCCCAGGCTTTCTCTGCCTGCCATTTCCCTGGGCAGCAAGGCAACACCCTGTTTGCCTGTTCAAATCTTACCTCCAGCAAGTCCTAGCCTTCCCGTAAAACCACCGTCTTCCTGACAGGAAGAGCTGCATTCCACAGTGGTGGCACACAAGAGAACAAGCCCTGCTTTCTCGGGAAGTGTCAACGCCAGGGATTGTTGGGAAGAGAAGACAGATCTGGGCCACCTCCTTCTGAATGGAGCAAGCCTCAGAAAGCAGCCAGGCTGAGACCACTGCTCTGTCGTGGCCATCTCAGGGCACTCACTAGAGTCTAATATGCTCGAAAATGTAGGGACGGCAGTGCCTTGGGCAGTGAACACCTGTGTCTAGGAGAATCTTGCTGACGCAGGTAGAGTTTCATTTTCTTGCTTCACCTTGGTGAGGCCAAACACCAGCTAATGAAAAGTGCATTATGTACTTTCTGGAAAAAATATTTTATACAGTCTGATATTTCACTGGGAAATGACCAAAGAGTATGAATTCTTTGCCGCCCTTTGTTTTGATTTAAATATTCCAAAGCACCTTATCCTGGCAAAGACCCCTGAGAAGAGCTATCTAAGGCTCTCAGTTTTCCGGTTTTATTCCAGACAGTGGAATGCTAGCCAAGATTTTCTGGTTGTAGAACCTCTTCTGATTCTGATGTCTCACTGGCTGTGGAAACTATTGGGAACTGGAATGAAAGTTTCCATCTTATCTTCCCCTCTGTTCTTTTGCAGAGGAGGGTGTGGTGTTATCAGTTTGCAGTGGGTTTAGGGGAGGTGGCAACCTTGCAGAGAGTTTGGTGGGTTTTCTTTCCCGAGCTTTGCTGTCAGTTGTTTTGAGGGAAATGAATAATCGGGTCTTAGAATCCCTGGATGTGAGGAGATAACATTGACTATGGGCAATTCTATTTACTGATAAAAATAATATATAGTTTTCAAATGCTCCCATAGTGAGTCACTTCTAAATAGTCAGAAATACGTTTCCTGCAATTATTCTTTGAGATTTGAATTAATAATTCTATAAAATTGCTCCCCTCACTAAGATAGTGCTATTGAATGCATGTGGAATTAGCAATGTGGTCCTAAACTTGCAGTAACCTGGTCTTTGGGGACTCACCAGATATTAATCAAAATCCAGAGCATATTCTGTCATAAGAAATGTATTCTAGTTTCTCTTCCTGAAAGTAGCAAAGAATAGCATACGAGCAAGAGTCAGACAAACTCTATTAGCAAGTTTCCAGAATGTCCAGGGCACTGGCGGTTAATCCGTCCTCCTCTTTGGCAAAAGGCAAACATCACAAAGCACTGATGGATGGAGCCACAACCTAATCTCAACACCCAGTGAAGCTGCAGGGTCTTGAAGAAAAAAATCAGGAGATCTGGACGCTACATCCTGCTGCTCTGCCCCTCAACTTCCTTATCTGGAGAGCGGGGACAAAAACTGCCCCACTACCTGGCAGGGTGGCTGTGATGGTCAAACCAGACCATCGCTGAGCAGCACCTTCTGAATTTACCGAGAGAGGAATGCTGTGTGATTGGCGTGTCTGCTGCTGGTTCTAGTGCTCAACAAAGCAGTTCCATCCTCTGCTGCCTCCCAGGTCCTCTTTCCTTGCTCCAGTTACCTGTAAAGGTAGAAGTAAGAGGGAGGAAGGAAAGTGACAGGTATTTCAGAGTGATGATCAGAATTGTGTCCAGTTTTACGTATCATTCTCGAAATCTTTCCTGCATGTCTTTCACTCAGTTCCCAAATTCTCCAATCCCATCTCATCACCCATCTCAGTAACAAAATTAGTTTATCCTAGTTAACCTAGATAACTTATCTTTTCCCCACTCCCAGGAAGGAGAGAGGATCATTGTGTTTCTACAGGCTCTTATGAAGGGAGATTACTGGTTATCATTTCCAAAAGATGGAGAAGGGGACAGTCCTGTTAGAGAAGGGAGCCTGCTAAGGATTCTAGTGCCTCCTCCAGGACTGGATGGGAACCGAGACTTGTGATTCCAGGTGAGAAGGTTCTACCTCCCTGGCAACCCTGGGGAGGTGGCAGGGCCTCAGGAAGAAATCACAGCCATGGCACAGCTTTGTCAAGACATGGTGGAGCCACCAGCCTCAATGACCATGAGGACTTAGCAAATGAGCACATCTGTGGTCACCTATGTGGACCAAACACCAGAGGGCCCTACCTGAATGTTCCGGATGAATGTTCATAGGAACTGGGGGGAAGGAGGAGTTCCAGGAAAGTCTGAGAGTGAATTTCCCATCACCCTGGCAGTTTGGCTGCAGTAACATATCAGCTTTCATTTAAAGTAATAAAAGAAATGTGACATTTCTTATGCCCTGTCATGTAGTATAGAAGTCACATGCCTGCTATCTCTCTGGGACATTCTGGCAGATAACTCTGCTTTCTTTGGATGCTCTAGAGTTTGGGAGAAACCGTTCTAAAGATCAGCACAAGCTCTTTCCGAAATGACTTTCCGCTCCCACCCCCAGTGCGAACTGACCCAGGGAAATACCAACCCGGTAAATATCTCCTCCATGACCTGCAAGTCAAGCCCGAGCAGCCGAGCCTCACTTCACCCACATGCACTTCTTGGCAAGCCTCGAGGAGACAGGAATGCTTTATCTTTCTTATATCCAAACGGGAACAGGAACTCACAATAAACACATCGAGAAATAAATGACTAGCAAACATTGTGCATGGTTACCAGGTGAGAACTAATGTCAATCCACTCCAACCAACCAAGGCTCACAATTTGGGAAATAGAAATGTTATTGTCCTTATCTTACTCTGAGAAAATTGAGGCCCGAAGATAACAAACTATTAAGTGGTAGAGCTGGGATTGGAATCTGACTTTGCCTTCTATTCTCCGGGGCTAGGTAATCCTAATTACCTGGCATTTTTTAGCAGCATGCTGGAGAGAGAGAGAGAGAGAGAGAGAGAGAGAGAGAGAGAGAGAGAGAGAGAGAGAGAGAGAGAGAGAGAGAGAGAGAGAGAGAGAGAGAGAGAGAAATGAAGGGCTCAGCTGCTGAATGTAGACTAGAGAACCCAGATTTAAAATGTAACCATTGCCATATTTGTCAAACTCTGGAAGGAGAGACTGGGAGTTCCAGTAGGCGTCTGTTGAGTCCCAGCTGAAATGTGCCCATCGGCCGATTTAACGTGATAATCGGGGGTGGGGCCCTGGTGACAGGCTGTGATGTATTGGCTGTTGTTCTGCACTTTGATGTTCCTTGGAATTTGTCAAAACTTCACTTCAGCACTCCAAAAAAAGTGCCATGGCGTCATCTGTCCCACTCTGTCTGCAGGAGCAAATGGCAGGGGAGTGGCTGTCCCCGGAGTTAAGGTCAAAGCCAGGTCAGAGAGTGGCAGACCTCTCCTAAGGACAGCCCGTGTGGCAGCCACTCCCCGGCTTACCACCTCACACCGGGGGGACTCCAGTCTCTGGGGGATAAAAATCTTTGCTGTCTCTGAGTGAAGGGGACTGCAGATCCCTCCTGTCGTAGCTCAGTCACGGGGCTTCTGGAAAAAGGCATCATCTTCCACACCCTTAGTCGTGGGGATTGAGCTGCAGGCAAGGTGGGCAGGGGGGCTTGTGGAATGGGGGGACGTGCCAGCTGAGCTCGCTGAATGCTCCAGAATGCTCCCTGTCAGGGTCGGGCTGCCAGCAGCAGCCCAGGGCAGGAACCAGCCTCTGCCACCCTTTTGGCAGCTGCAGTCACAGAGGTGCAACAGGCAGGAAGGCGTGCTGGTGCCCAGGCTCCAGGGCCCAGATGAGTCACCGCCAGGGTCCCGGCCAGCTGGAGAGCCAGGCCTGTTTCCCAAGGCTGGTCTGGGCAGCAGAAAGATTTTGGAACACTGCTGACACCCAGCACTGGGGATCTGTAGGGGCTTCTGGGAGCTTCTGATCTGTGAAGGGTCACCCTGTCACAGAGGTGAAGAATGGCAATGTTTGGGGCAACAGGGTTAAGGGGAAGAATGGTTTCCCTAGAAAACCCGATCGTGCTATTGGGTTGCTTCTCGTTGGCCTCTTGATGGGGCTGGACCTATCAATAGGGTCTCAGTGGGTCCCCGTTACTGTGACATTGGAATCACTGTTCTGATCTTCCCAGCACAAGATGACATCACCTCCATTGAGAAGCCAATCCCCAAGAGAATCCAAAAAAGCCATATGCCTTAGTCCATTCAGGCTGCTATATCAAAATGCCATAAACTGGGTGGCTTACATAAACCCAGAGAAATGTATCTCTCACAGTTCTGGAACCTGGGAAATCCAAGAGCAAAGCACTGGCAGATTCTGTGTCTGGTGAGGGCCTGCTTTCTCGTTCACAGACAGCACCTTTTTGCTGGCCCCACTTGGAGGGCATAAAGCTTGTGAGGGTGGCAGTCACTACAACCTGTGGTGACAAAGGGATTTAGACTATGAGACTTGGACAGTCCAGACATGGGTCTTCTGTCCACAGAAGCCTTCAATTTCCCTTCTATTTTAGCTTGAAGGAGGAGCTCCATTGCAAACCAACTTCTCCTTCAAACCAACAATTTCTGACAAGGAAGTGGCCTGAAGGGTCACTTGGGATTAACTACTAAGAAATAATTTCAGCAAGGGGCCACAGACATCGAGACAGTTTGGCTCCCTGTGCTGAGAAGGTGACGTCAGCCATGCAGATAAATTCCAAAGAATCTATCACCCCTCAGACAAGGCTTTACTAGCTTATAAAATGTTCCTGAGCTCTTTCCATACTGACAACTTCTGGGGGCCGTCCAGGGCATCCTGGAAAATTACAGCAAGAGGGTGTCTTTCCAGTTCTTCCTTATCCAGAGCCTAATTTCTTTTGGACTTAGTCTAATTTCTTTCTATTCCATGAATTGTTGTTAAATGGGAAGGAAGTCTTGTTCCAGCACTAATGTCAAATGCTAGGCAGAAGTGCATGGAAAAATGACCAAACTCTAGATTCAGATCAGAAAATATGCCAGAGTTGGATAATGAGCATTGAAATTATTAGAGTTTGTCTCTCTGAGTTCCCACTAAGTCATTTCTCAAGGCCTGTGTATTGGTACCTTCATATCCATTCTACAGATCAAGACACTGAGATAAAGACAGACTGGATATAATACGCTTATGGGTATTCAGCTAATACCTAATAGCTGCTGAATTGATCCAAAGGGGGCATGTCGCCTTGCTCTCAGACCTCCTCACCGTCACCCTGCAGGGAAAAAAGTGAGATGCATGAGATCAAACGAAGGTGGAGACAGAAAGGTCCAATAAAGCAGGAGTTCCCTTGATCTATGAAGCTCCCTGTACCCTTTGGGGGGCTCTTTGAGAGAAAAGAGATTTCCACGAGGCAGAAGAAACCAATCAAATCCAAGCAAACATTTGCTACCAGCCAAGATCACTTAATAGAGAATGCAATCAACCTTTACAAATAACATTTGAAAATATGTAACATCTTCTTACTTGTTGCTGGAGTATGCTCTTATTACTGCCATTTTCCAACAAGGAAACAGAAGCTTGGAGAAGCTGCCTTCCCCAGGGTCATACAGCTAATAAGCAATAAAAATAGACCACCCAGCACCCCAGCTGTTCTGAATTTAAATCCAGAGTTCTTTGCCCTACATTGCAGAAGTTCTTACCTATGTAAGAGTTAACCAGAGCTGTATCATTGGCTAACAAAGGAAATATTGATCAAAAGGGACCTAAAATGCACTAGAGGAGCTGTCTCTTAAGGGAATATTCATTCAACAATGCCCTAAACTATTCACACAGAGGGGCTCTAGGGTAGAGATCACCTAAGGGGTCGACTCTGGGCCAGTAGGGGTCCTAGAAGGCTTTCTCAGTGAACCTCCTAGGGCTGGTGTCTTTCCAAGGTGGGAGTCTTGTGTTTGCTCCAGCATGGGCTCAGGGCGTGCACTGGGACCTTGGACCCTGAAGCCTTACAGGGAAGCCCTGGGATGGTCCAGGCATCCTGGGATCTGGTCCAAGGGGGTACAAGCCTGGGCCTCATGTCCTCCCATTATCATTCAGAGGGACACAGACTCCTGCTCTCCATGCCATTCTTCACTCACAGAGCTGTCCTCAGGAGGTGAAGTGGGGACAAGACAACATCCCCAGGTGTTGACTCCAGCTTAGGCTCAACCTTGGGAGCCCAGGCCACAGCAAAATGGCTTGTTCTGGCCAACGCACTCATAAGCACAGAAGATCACACCCCAGGCTAAAAAGGCGGAAAACCAGTAGGCAAGGAAACCGTTTTGTCATCCAAGGACAATAAAGTTTATGTATTCCCAGATGTGGGTCCTCCCACTTAATCAAAGCAGAGGCCCATTCCAGTGAAAAGAGCTTTTCTCCAGCAAAATGGGAAGGCAGCTTCTTCGGGGCTAAATTTAGACTTTACCCACAGGGGAAGGGCTCCAGTTCTTCAGGGCTGCCGACAGAACAAGCAAATGGTTCAGTGCCCCAGCTGGCTACAGCCAGCTCCAGCGCCAAGCCAGCATGAGTCTGAAATGTTCCTAGCCCAGGAGTGTGGGCCGTGCAATCCCTGGGGCTGGGCTCTGCCCCAGGCTGGATCACATCTTGGAGGGTGTACAGCTTGGGTCACCCTGCTGGTGCGTCAGCTCTGTTTGCCTGCTCCACCAAGAAGCAGCAACTCAACACCCTCTACTCCAGAGCCTGGGCTCAGAGCTACAGAGTATACAAGGTACAAGAAGGCCTGGGCCTTTGCCCTCAAGAATACCTTAAAGATATCTTAGGGATCCAACATGGATAGGGCAATGCTTTGCAAAATGACCAAGTTAATATACAGAGTGGCATGGTTCTAAAGCAGTAAGAATAAGCACCCCACGACATGTAAGGTTTCAGTGGAAAAGTTGGCTGTTCCTCCTGAGTTAGCTCCCCTTCCATCTAAAGCTCGGTAGTGTCCTTCCCCAAGTGGCCCAAAAACAATCATGGCAGAATATTGAGAGGCATGCCCCTTCTTGGGGACAAGTGAGTGTAGTCCCTACCAAAGGAAGCCAAACAAGTTACATTCATTTCTCTCCTTGACCAAGCTGGTAGTGTTTCCCCAAAGGTACCCTACACTATACATTTTGCCTCCTGTCCTTAACCCTCAGGAAGGTGGTCACCAATTCACTACTGTCAAATCTAATCGCTACTTACACCAGGACAGGCTGGTGAGACTTGGAAGGGGGGGTGGGGGAGGCGTGATAACAATCAAAATTAACTGTGTCCTTCCCATCCAGCGATCCTAAAGACATGAAACCAGATTTGCTCAGGGAGTAAAACAAGATGAAAATTCACCCCCTGAAACATGCCCCACACCACATAGACACATCTCTAATGACACCTCCTTAGAAGCCTCTGGCAAACAGAGCTAATTGCCATTTCCACTGGGCTCTCATGATCCTGTGCCCTTAGCTTGGTTACAGCACTTACTCCTCTATAAACATTCATGATTTACACTGGACTCCCCCTGAGATTTGGAATTACTCAAAGGAAGGGTCTTGGTTTTATCTCTTTTTGCATCTCTAACTCCTGGCGTATAGTAGGCCTTCTATAGACATTAGACAATTGAATGAAAGAATGACTCAAATGTATAAACAGTCTTGTTTAAATATCTTGGTGCTCTCCTTAATGAAAGAGATTGGCATAAGGTTAAGGTTAATAGAGTTCCATGAAAACAAGAGAAGAGGTGTCTTAGGACTGCCCGGGCACCCCTCTCCAGCCTAGGATGGAACAAGCGGGGTCCCCTCCACAGTGAGCAAGCACTTTCTAAGCTTTGGTTATCTTCAACTAGTTCTTGTTAAATGGAAAGAACTGGGCCACCTTTTGTATCTTTCTCTCTCTCTGCTTATCCAGAAGTGGCCATTCTGCCTTAATCTAGTGGCTCTTCTGGCAGTAGGTTAAAGGCATGTATCAAAAACCCATCCTGATTCAAACACTAGAGACAGAGACAGACGGGGGTGGGATGGGGGAGTTGAGGGGAAAGACAGCTGCCCTAACTATCTGGAGTAAAGCCCCTCAGCAACCTCCCAGCCTGTCTGTCCCTGCACCAATGACCTGGCTGTGGATAACACCGTTCCCAGCTACCTTACCGGCTAGACTCTTACCTCCTGCTCACTGGAGGTCAGCTGAAGAACTCTGTCCACCAAACCTAGTGTGAATACCCAGTGACAGTCTAGCAAGCAGAGAAGAGAGGTATCCCCTTAAGGAGTGGGAGAATTCTCAGATAACCTAATCAAGCCCAAGCAATTGCCCTATCTTCTAGTGCAAGTGCCAAGGATGTAAATATTCAAAAGAGAAGCATGCCTGTGGCACCATTCCTAAGCCAAATTTTGCACTGCATCTCAGCCAACCAGGAAGGGAGGACGAGAATGCAAATCCTATTTTAAAAATAAATAAATTAATTAATTAATTAAATAATTCACAGTGGCCAGACATTTCCAAAAGAGGCTTGGGCTACAAGACAAGGTACTAAGTGAGAATACTAAAGGGGATTGCTGAATGGAAGGATGATGAGGGTGGATGCGTGTGTTTCCTTTAATAAATAAATAAATATAAAACATTGTAAGTTGCCATGTGTATTTCAACTTGATGTTTAAAGACATTGGACTTAGCAGGCAGGAACTGTTGCCCTCTACTGGTTGGAACGCCATAATTTTGTATTTGCAGTTGCCCAAATGCTTTTTATCCCTTCGAGGGGATGGTGGTGATGGTGGGAGAGGAGGGAAAAAGGAAGGAGAGGAGAAGGGAGAGGAGGTGACAGCCACGGAGATCAGGTTTACACAGCATGTTGGTGTCTTACCAAGTGCATTCAAACAAACTGAGTTACTTAAGCCTCACAGTTATCCTGTGAAGAAGGTGGTGTTGCAAATGAATTGACTCTGGCAGAGAAAGAAATTCGATCAGCTGGCTACAGATTCTGACACAGTAAAAGACAGAGCTGAGGTTCTGATTCAGGTTTTCTAAATACAAGCCCTGGAATGGCTTCCTTCACTCTATACTTATTTGGTGAGCTTTATTTATATTTACTTAAATCCAGTCTTTTGAGGGAGAGTTTTTTAAAGTCCCTTTTATGTGTTGAAGATGTAATTCATTCACACATTTATTTGTGAATATTTATTAGACACCTGTTCTACGCCTGGCCTTCAAGCTTTGAACTAGGGAAGATCAGAGAACAAGGCAGACTCCGGCTTTTACAGAGCTCTGAAGGGGCAGCCAGCACACAAAGGAACAAATCAAGAAGGATCATGATGTCAGAGAGTAGTAAGGGTTGGAGGCAATGAAACAAGGTGAAGATGTACAATGGCCCTAAAGTGAAAATGAGTTTGGCAGATGCCACCTCTCTATAGCTAGAATTTTCAGAAAGGTGACTTATAACAGAAAAGGACCAGTCTTTGTCTTCCCAAATATAGGTCTGAAAATCATTGGAAAATATCAGAAGAGTGGCCTGGGAATGGACATTTGTTTGGACACCCCTTTAAGAAGCCTCTGAAGCATGGAGGTAGGAAAGAACTCCTCTAGAAATGCATATATTTTTCTATTGACAAAGATTAAGAGAGCTTATTGCTAAAATATCTGTATGACTGTGATGCATTTAAATTTATTCAACCAGTTACCTGACTTGAGCAGCTTTATTTATAATATCTAAAGCCTGGAACCAACCCAAATTTCAACAGATGAATGGTAAGACAAAATGTGGTGAATCCATACTGTGGAATACTACTCAGCCACGAAAAGGAACAACAAACTGTTGACACATGCAGCAACTCAGAGGGATTTCAAGGACTTTATGCTAAGAAAAGCCCTTCTCAAAAGGTCACAAGGTTGCACACTGTATGATTCCATTGATGTAACATTTTCAAAATGACACCACTGTAGAGACAGAGGACAGGAAAGTGGTAGCCAGTGGATAAAAAAAGGGAAGGAGCGGTGTGACTACACTGGGGAATACAAGGTGATTCCCTTATGGTGATGGAATACTTCTGGAACTTGATATGGTGGTAGTTATACTAATCTATACATATGATAACATATCATAGAATTGAACACAAAAACTGAGTCCATGTAAGAACTGCTGAAATATGAGTAAGAGGTGTAATCCACTTGATGGTTTTGAGCCAATCAATGTCCTTGGTTCATAATATAAGAGGGCATCATCATTGGGACAGTGGGGTGATGGGTACATGGGGCCTCTCTGCATTATTGTTACAA